TAAATACAAGGACATTGTGTGATTGTATGGTGAATGTGATGTTAAAGATGAACAATGATATCGAATATGCAGATTTTTTGTCTGTGTATTCTCTTGAAATTATGACAACATATTGTATTCTCCAAAGATTTTTTTCCTTATTTAAACGCAAAAATAGGAAATGAAAAATGCCAATAATAAGGAAAAACGATATGAGAAGAAAGGAATTTTCTTTAGCCAGAAAGTTAATTAAGGACTTTACGACAATGGACATGTAAAATATTATTTTTGCTACGTGGATGACTAAAGGGTCCCTGCTCTCAACAATGAACATCTTCAGCTTTGTGCTCTCTCTTACAAACCGAAGAAAAATTGTGTTTTCTAATAGAAATATACTGTTTGAGAATCTTGAAGATAAACCAACGCAATGGTCATACACGCTACACACACAACACACACACACCACACACACACACACACACACACACACACCACACACACACACACACACACACACACACACACACACACACACACATATATATATATATATATATATATATATATATATATATATATATATATATTATATATATATATATATATATATATATATATATATATATATTATATACATATAAAGAAGACAAGTGATAACCGAAAAATATGAGCGCAAAGAGACAAAGGAACCGCTAGCAAAAAAAGAAAGAAAGAAAAAAAAACACAGGAAAGCAGATTATCAATTCCATTTATGCTTTTGATATATGGAAATCTAGAAGGAATTTCTCCCGAGTGTTTTATTAAATAGAAAGAACGAAAGAGAGAGAGAGAGAGAGAGATTAGGGGGGCAGAGAGAGAGAGAGAGAGATAAGGGGCAGACAGACAGAAGAGAGATGAAAGGGGAGACAAAGAAATAGAGATGCGAAATAAAAATGGAAAAAAGAGAAAGATGATCTATTAGAAAAAAATCAAAAGAGAAAGAGAGAAAGTGAGTTGCCACAAAAAGATATCTTACTTAATACCTAATAACATTTACAGTGATTCTAATCTCAATAGAAGCAAAATTACAATAAAAAACTAATTAAAACAAAGGCACAAAAATATCATGTATAAGTATAATGAAAATGATACTAATGATAATTACAGTGATACTGATACCAACAAAACAATAAAATGAAAAACAAACTCACAAAAATGGACAAAGATATCATGTCCACATAAGGTGAAACAGTGATACTAACATCAACAAAATTAGAATAACAATCAAGAGAAACAAAAAATAATAATAAATAAATAGATAAATAAGAATGAATAAATAAAAGATAAATAAAAAAAATCACAAAAATGGACAAAAATACTATGTCCACACAAAGTGAAACAGTAATATTAATAATGACAATAATATTAATTACAGTGATACCAACATCATCAAAATCAAAATAACAACCAAGAAAAAATAGTAAATAAAAAACACCAAGAAATGGACAAAAACACCATGTCCACATAAGATGAAACACAACAATAAAGATAATAATACTAATATCAATTACAATGATACCAACAAAAAAAAAAAAAAAACAAGAAAAACAAAAAGTAAATAAAAACACACAAAAAATGTACAAAAATACCATATCCACATAAAGTGAAACAGTGATATTGATAATGAGACTAATATTAATTAAAGTGATACCAACATCAACAAAATAAAAAAGCAATCAAGAAAAAAAATAAATAAATAAAACAACACAAAAAATTGACAAAAATACCATGTCCATATAAGGTGAAACACAACAATAAAGATAATAATACTAATATCAATTACAATGATACCACCAACAAAATAAAAAAAACAAGAAAAAAGTAAATAAAAACACACAAAAATTGACAAAAACACCATGTCCACACAAAGTGAAACACAGTAATAATGATACTAATATTAATTACAATGATCCCAACATCAACAAAATAAAATAACAACCAAGAAAAACAAACAGTAAATAAAAACACAAAAAATGGACAAAAATACCATGTCCATATAAGATGAAACACAACAATAAATATAATAATACTAATTTCAATTACAATGATACCAACATCATCAAAATCAAAATAACAACCAAAAAAAAAGTAAATAAAAAACCAAAAATGGACAAAAATACCATGTCCATATAATGACTAATATTAATTACAATGATAAACATCAAAAAAAAAAAAAAAAAAATCGAAAAACAAATAAATAAATAAAAGAAAAACAAACAGTAAATAAAAACACAAAAAATGTACAAAAATACCATGTATATAAGATGAAACACAGTGCTATTAATAATGACACTAATATCAATTACAATGATACCAACATCAACAAAATCAAAAATAAAACAATCAAGAAAAACAAATAAATAAATAAAAGAAAAACAAACAGTAAATAAAAACACAAAAATGTACAAAAATACCATGTCCATATAAGGCGAAACAGTAATATTAATAATGACACTAATATTAATTAATGTGATACCACATCAACAAAATAAAAAATAAAACAATCAAGAAAAACAAATAAGTAAATTAAAACACAAAAATGGACAAAAATACCATGTCCATATAAGGCGCAACAGTGATAAACGGAAGAGCGTGGCCATCGCCGCTGTGAGTCGAAGGGCCTTTAAATCCATCTCTTTCACGCTGGGCTTAGGGAGTGAGAGGAAGCTGGGAATCGCAGATGATGGAGAGGGAGAGAGAGGGAGGGATGGGAGGGAGGGAGAGAGGAAGGGATGGAGGGAGGAAGGCAGGAGAGGGGAGGGAAGGCAGGAGAAGAGGGAGGGAGAGTGAGGAAGGAGGGAGGGAGGGAGAGCCGAGGGAAAGAGGGAGGGAGGGGGGAATAAAAAGGGAGCAAATGGGACAGGGATTAAGAGAAGGGAGGCTTTTGCTTACGTGTATTTATACACATGGGTATTAATATACGTTTGTAGAAATGTATTCATAGTCCAGTCTCTCTCTCTCTCTCTCTCTCTCTCTCTCTCTCTCTCTCTCTCTCTCTCTCTCTCTCTCTCTCTCTCTCTCTCTCTCTCTCTCTCTCTCTCTCTCTCTCTCTCAAACACACACACACACAAAGAGAGATCAAAAAAAAGAAGTGAGAGAGAAAGAGAAAATTAAAAAAAAATCAAACCATGAAAAGAACGCCACTAAAAAAAAAAAAAAAAAAAAAAAAAACAGGAAGCAGGAAAAAGAAAGACGATTAATTGATCTGCCGTCGAAGCACAGTTTGTACCACGACGGAAAAAACTGCGCAGAAAACAGCAAGGCGAGAGAGTAATGGAAAGAAACCTAGTTATATTCGCCGTGAACCATTGACCTCGCTCCGCCTGGCACGGGGAAGGTCAGAGTGCACGCGGCTTCCATTTGTCTTGTGTTTCTTTTTCCCTTTTTTTCTTTTCTTTCGTTTTCGTTTTGTTTCGTGTGCGTACGTGGTTGTTGTGTGTGTGTGTTGTGTGGTGTGTGTTTGTGTGTGTTTGCGTGTGTTTATGTGTGGGGGGGGGCACACACAGACACGCAGATAGACAGAAACTGAAGAAAGAGAGAGAGAGAGAGAGAGAGAGAGAGAGAGAGAGAGAGAGAGAGAGAGAGAAGAGAGAAATATACGGATATACCAAAAGAAACAAAAACTTTACCCTTAATCACCCCAATTAACCTATACCCCACAAACAAGTATCCCCCAACATCCAAACCTAACCCCAACACTAAACCCCAACACACCACCGAGTCCACCACACAACCCCATACCCCCTATAACACACACAACACCTACCCCTACCCACACACACACATATACACCCCCCCATACCACCCACCCACACATACACCCCCCCCCACACACCCACACACAAAACCACACCACCTACACCACCCCCCTAACCCACACACATACAAACCTTCTCCCCCCCACACCTCCACCCACCCCACCCACACACCCCCACACACCCCCCCCACCCCCACCCTACCCTCACACCCACCCACCACCCACCTACCCCCCCACTCACCCCCACCCCCCCCCCCCCCCCTCCCCACACCACCTCAAACACCCATCCCCCTTTCCCCACCCTCCACCCCACACACACCCCAAATCGAACCCCCCCATATAAACCCAGATCTCTTATCTTTTACAGGACGGCCTCGTGAGGCAGCCCTGAGACACTACGAGGCGGCGCTGGGACTGGACCCTGAACACACGGTCGCCCTCGTCAACACGGCCCGTCTTATGAGGACACTGGATCACAACAAGGCAAGCGGAGATCCTGTATAAAGCGGTGAGTGGCGGGGGTGGGGGTGAGGGGTTGTGAGGGTTTGTTGTGGATGGGTTTTGAGGGGTTGTGGTGGGACTTGGTTGGGTGTGAGGGGGTTGGGTTGGGTTGTGAGGTGGGGTTGATGAGAATGGGTTGGTTGTTGGGGATTTGTGATGGGCTTTGTGAGGGGTTGGGTTGGGTTTTTTTTTTTTATGGGGGGTTGCTGGATGTTGTGAGGGGTTGTTGAGGGGTTGGGTTGGGTTGGGTGGAGTGGGGTTGGGCTGGGGTTCTTATGGGTTGGGGATCTTGTAGTGGGGGATGTGTGATGGGTTGTAAATGGTGTTGTGATGAGTGGTGGGTGTGTGGGGTGTTGGGTTGTAATGGGTTGTGAGGGGTTGGTTGGAGATTGTTTGGGGATTTGTAATGGGTTGTGAAAGGGTTGTTGGGTTCGGTTGTTATGGTTTTTAATGGGTTGATCATGGGTTGTTCATGGATTATGAAGGGTTGTTATGGGTTGTATTCGTAATAAGGACTGAGTATTGCTTCACTCAGGGATTGGAAGGGAGGGTAAAGTGATGAAGGGAGGACAGGAAAAAGGGAGAATAGAAGGAGAGAATAAAGGGAGGTGAATGAGAGATCAGAGGATTGGAAGGGTGAGGAAGAGGCAGGGAAATAAAGAGAGAATTGGGGGTAAGGGATAAAAGGAGGACCTTGAGGAGAGGAGGATTAGACGGGAGGTAAAGGGAAGAAAGAGAGGACAGGAAAAAGGGTGATTAGAAGGAGAGAATAAGGGAGGTGAGTGAGAGATCAGAGGATTGGTAAGGTGAGGAAGAGGCAAGGAAATAAAAAGAGAATTAGGGGAAAGGGACTAAAGGAAGAACTGAGGGAGAGGGGGATTAGAATAGAGGATATGAATAAAACGAGGAAAGGGAGGAGTAGTTTAAAAGAAGATTTAGAAGGAAGGATTAGGGAAGAGGGAGTGAAGCAAGAGAGAAGAGAGAAACAGGAGGGGGAAGGAAGAGCAGATTGCAGCGGAAGGGAAAAAAAGGAAATTTAGATAAAGGAAAACAGAAGAAAAAAATAAATAAATAAAAATAATAATGATGATAATAGATTTTACATCGAATACTGCAGGAACAATAAATGGAACAATGATGATGCTACATAAGCAATAGAGGAAGGGGGAAGAGAGATAGAAATGCAAGATCAGAGAATAATATCCCAAATGCAAGAGAAAGGCAAGAACAGAGAATAATCATCCAGCCAAAAGAGAGAGAGGAGAGAGGGGAGAGAGAGAGAGAGAGAGAGAGAGAGAGAGAGAGAGAGAGAGAGAGAGAGAGAGGAGAGAGAGAGAGAGAGAGAGAGAGAGAGAGAGAGAGAGAGAGAGAGAGAGAGAGAGAGAGAGAGAGAGAGAGAGAGAGAGAGAGAGAGGAGGGGGGAGAGAGAGAAGAGAGAGAGAGAGAGAGAGAAAGAGATAGTGGAGAGTAGAGAGAGAGAGAGAGAGAGAGAGAGAGAGAGAGAGAGAGAGAGAGAGAGAGAGAGAGAGAGAGAGAGGAGAAGAGAGAGACAGACAGAGAGAGAGACGAGAGAGAGAGAGAGAGAGAGAGAAAGAAAGACAGAGAGAAAGAGAGTCAGAGAGACAGTCAGAGAAAGAAAGAGAAAGAGAAAAAGAAAGAAAGAGAGAGAAAATAAAGAGCAAGAACAGAGAAATAATTATCTCCTCAAGGGCACTAGACCCATTATCCAAAACGCTTATCCGAAAGAGGTTCGAAAATAGACACGGAATAGCCAAAGGAAATAGATAAGCAATTAGTACTTTAGAGGATGTGCATCTGTTCCTCTCTCCTCGCTAGAATCTTATAACAAAGGAAGAGAAATTAACGAATTAACTCCCAATTGCATCCCGAATGGACTTTAACATACAGAGCAGCCGGCGTCCAGGCTAAGAAGAACAAGACAGCAGGAGAAATGGAAAAAAGGGGGCGAGAATATTTAAGAATAAATGATAGGAGATAGATAAAAAGAGAGAGAGAAAAGGGGAGGGGACATAGATAAACAGTATAGAAATTTAAAAAAAAGGGTAAAGGATAATGATAGGAGATAGATAGAATAAATAAAGAGAAAGAGAGAAAAGGGGAGGGGTACATAAATAAACAGTAATAGAAATTTAAAAAGGAGGCAAGAATAAATGATAGGAGATAGATAGAATAAAAGAGAGAGAAAATGGGGGAGGGTAGAAACAGTGTAAGAATTTAAAAAGAATAATACGAATAAATGATATTAGATAGCTAGAATAAAAAAGAGAGAGAAAAGAGGGCACATAAAATAAACAGTAATAGAAATTAAAAAGAGAGGCAAAATAATGATAATAAATGATAGGAGATAGATAGAATAAAAAAGATAGAGAAAAGGGGAGGCGACAAGAAATAAACAGTGATAGAAATTTAAAAAAGGAGTAAGAATAATTGATAGGAGATAGATA